ATAAAATAAATATAAATAAAATAAAATAAATATAAATAAAATAAATATAAATAAATATAAATAAATATAAATAAATATAAATAAATATAAATAAATAAATAAATATAAATAAATATAAATAAATATAAATAAATACAGATGAATATAAATAAATATAAATAAATATGAATAAATATAAATAAATATAAATAAATAAAAAAATAAATAAATATAAATTAATTAATAAATAAAAATAAATAAAAAGATGTATTATTTGGTGTTTATATGAGAGAAAAAGAAGAAAGAGATAAAATAAAATAAAACAAAAAAAAAAACAAACCAGAATAAATATAAAAAAACACAAAAAAGACAAAACAAAAAAAAATAAAATAAAACAAAAAGAGACAAAAGGAGACAAAAGGAGACAAAAAAAGGAGACAAACAAAAAGACAAAACAAAAGGAGACAAAAGGAGACAAACAAAAAGGAGACAAAAGGAGACAAAAGGAGACAAAGGGAGACAAAGGGAGACAAAAAAACACAAAAAAACAAAACAAAACAAAACAAAAGGAGACAAAAGGAGACAAAAAGGAGACAAAAGGAGACAAAAGGAGACAAAAGAACATACCTCTGTAGCTAGCTGAGAACAGGAGACAAAAGGAGACAAAAAACGCAAAAAAAAACAAAACAAAAGCAAACAAAAAACACAAAACAAAACAAAACAGAACAAAACAAAAAAAGACAAAAGGAGACAAACAAAAAGGAGACAAAAGGAGACAAAAGGAGACAGAAGAAGATACCTCTGTAGCTAGCTGAGAACAGGAGACAGTTACTGGTTTTATTTTTTTGCTTCTGCTGCAGTTGTCGCATTCTGTTGCACAGACACCCCGGAAATCCTCGCCAAAGTGCTGCAGCAGCAGCAGCAGCAGCAGCAGCAGCAGCAGCAGCAGCAGTAGCAGCAGTAGCAGAAAGAACAGCAGGAGATGCAGTAGGAGATGCAGCAGCAGCAGCAGCAGCAGCAGCACCAGAAAGGGCAGCAGAAGATGCAGCAGGAGACGCGGATGAAGGAGATGCAGCAGCAGCAGCAACAGCAGCAGCAGCAACAGCAGCAGCAGCAACAGCAGCAGCAGCAGTAGCAGCAGCAGCAGCAGCAGCAGTTTACTCTAAGTATAAATACTCTTCTACACTCAAACATTTCTTCACAATACTACACCACCACCAGAAGCAGCAGCAGCAGCAGCAGCAGCAGCAGCAGCAGCAACAGCAGCAGCAGCAGCAGCAGCAGCAGC